TCGCTTCATATTTTTAATTTCTTTTCAATATATTTTATTTTGATTTTGATTTTTTATATATCTTTTTTAAATAATTTTTTGCTTGTTGTTTCAAGTGTCAACAACTCACCATAGCGTTTGCTATGCGCCATTTGTGTAAACTTATTATTTGATTTTTTTATATTTTTTATTGTTTTTGCTACTACAAACATATAAATATGTTAATTATCTTTTTGTGTCACTAAAATGTTCCGTCAGTGTGTGTGTGTGTGTATAGCTGTTTTTTTGTTTCGTATGTTGATTTTGGCTGCTTTTTCAATGCCACTTACCATCAATTTCTGATCCACAGTCTTGACAACGATTTCTTCGGGGGCGTATTGGTTTACATCGAACCGCAACCTCAACACTTTGCTATCGCCATCATCCTACGAAAACAAAAACAAAGTACAAAACACGATTTAGATAAATAAATATTTATTTAGTTTTCATGTAAAATTGCTGACTTATGTAGTTGTAAGCACACATACTGCATGAGTGGGAGCAGAGCATTAGCGCTAAAGAAATTTTCGAACGCGTTAAAAATTAAAAAAAAAATATAAATTTTTATTTATTCTGATGTGCTATTTGTAACTACATAATAAGCTATATAATTTGCTATGCAAAAATTTACCAAAAAAATAATTATTTTTTAGGTTATATTCGTAACCATCATCGTAAATTATGATGCCCCACTTGCGCCGCTTATAGCAGGCCAAGTGGGGCAGCCATCATACCTAACCTAACGTAACTTGTATATACATAGTTCTTCATACAATGACCTATCAGTTTTTTTGTTCTGATCAAAAATCTATTGTTAGCAGGCCAAAAGTCACTAATTTATTTCTATTTTTGCTTTACGTCTCTGTGTGGCTTTTAACAGGCCATTGCTCTATCGGCTTCCAAGCTATAGGCTTGAAACCGTATGGAAGAAAACGAGATGGAATCATCTCATCATTCCCTTCTTGATTGTGGGAGCTCACACTTTCAGCTATCCCACCGAAAAGACATCGCCTAACCTAACCTGTATATAGTTCTTCATACAACGACTTAGTCTGGTCAAAAATCTTATTTTGGCAGTTCGAAAACGACTAAAATTTTTGAGTTTTCTCGAACGTAGGTTATAATACGGACAATATCTTCTAGTAGGGAATTTCGATTTAGGTTTTTTTTAGATGTCATCCACGGAGAAGTCGAAATCACCGCAATAGTGGCGGAGCAGTTTTTAGCAGTATTTCAAAGTAATCGAGGCAGTATTTCTTTCTTTATTTAATTTACAAAAATCGCCTTTTTAGGTTGTTACCCTAGGCATGCCCCTTAAATCAAAATATCTCACAAAATTTATACAAAAAATCAAAAAAAAAAAAAGCTTTCTTTGGTGTTGGCAAATATTATTTTTAACCAAAGTGCTGCACTAGAATAATATTTCCGATCAATTTCTTTATTTAAAAATATTATTTATTACTACCATCAAGCTA